CTAATGGTTGGTCCTTGGGAAAGGGGAACTTATTAGGGGAAGTTTATTCTAGATTGTTGCCAATCGAGAGATGGTAGTAATTAGGAATAATTGAATGCTGATCTTTGATCTTATTGGGTGTTTAAGCCATGGGAGTGGAAATTCACTAGGAATAGAGATTACGGGAGTAATTCGATTCCACTTTGCATTCCCACACAAATCTTAATTCCAAACTAAATATTGCAAACGATAATTGGCACTAGGTGATTAAATACTTGAATCCCATGAATCTCAACTTCTCTCTAATTGTTTTCAAAATCCTGAACCTCTGTTTTATTTTATTTATTTTATGCCAATCAATCATCTAAGTAATTGTTAGGATTAGCTCTAATGAATAAGTTAGTAACTAGTGCTTGATACAACCACTTCCCTGTGGATCGATAACTCGTACTCCGAGAATTATTTGTTTGCAAATATACTACGCATCAAATTGGTGCCGTTGCCGGGGAAGTGGCGTTTCTAGTATTAACTTAGTGAAATCTTTATTCTAGGAGACTAGTCCATTTTTTTTATTTTTTCTTTATTTTATTTTATTTTGCTAACCCATAACAAGTTCATTGTTTTGAGTGTGATTTAGTTTATGGATAGATATGCATTCCAAGGAACCATGCCACCGTTTTACCCTCCTTCTCAAGGTTATGAGATGAGTTGGAATATGAATCGAGAATATGGAGGAATGGAACAACAATTCCCTTTCTCAAATTTTGCCAACTCTAGTCAAGGATATTATCAAGAAAGTTCATATCAAACATCACAACCCCAATGGTGCTCATTTTGTGGTGGGAATCACTTTGTGGAAAATTGTTACATGCTCAACCCCACCAACCATATCCATCAGCAATCTACCCAAGGATTTTGTGCCAACATGAGTCAAGCTACTTATCAAAGATGCACACCACCTACTTCGCAACCCTCACGGTGCATGATATGTGGTGGATCTCATGAGGCGGAAAATTGCTTTATCATGGATCCCAATTACAAGTATCAAGGGCGAGTTCAAGAGTTGCCGTACAAAGAGTTTCAACAAGATTGTCAATCACTTGACCAAATAATTGAGATGAAGCCCAAAGAGACCAAGTTAATGCAATTGTGCTCGAAATATCTGGAGTTACAAGATCACATGAAGGCTCAACTTGATCGCATGAATGCTCGACTCGATCACATGTTGGCTCGACAGCAAGATTTGACAATTCAAGAGCCACTTCAAGATTCATTTAATGGAGAGGCTCTAGAAGAGTTGCTCTTGCCAAATGAAGGTCATGAAGATGAGAGAAATAAAAAGGATGATGAGGATCTTAGAGAGGGAGATGAAGAAATATTTGATAAATGCATTGAGATGGAGACACCAAGTTGGGAGGAAGATGTAGAGTTGCAAGGTAATGATGGCAAGGAACATATAGAGAGTTGCCCATTAGATGAGGAAGCTCTTAATGGAGCACATGATTTGAATGAGGATGTCTCACCAATGGAGAACACTTCCCTTGGAGAGAACTTCAGAGAAATTTTGAATTTGGGAGGCATTGGAGTTCTTAAGGATAATGGCACACATTTGCCTATCTATATATCCAATGATTCCTAATACTTGCTGGTTCATGTGAATGATCCGAGACTCTCATTACTTGTTGAACAAAGGAGTGTTGAAAAAGAAGGAAAAGAGAATGGAGGCATAATTCTTGATTCGGGCAAATGTGGTTCCTTACACGATGACGTGAAGGGTTCGAGCTTAAGAGAGTTTATAAATGGACACCACTTGAAGAAATACTTGGAAGAGAAAGTTGATGGAAAGAAGGGGATTTTTCTTCTCCAATCACTTGATGGCTAGAGAGGTAACGTCGAGCTAACGACGTTAAATTTAGCGCTTCATGGGAGGCACCCCATGTTATCTTTTATTACTTTCCCTATTTATTTATTGCTTTCTAGTTTCGTCTTATCTAGTTTTATTATTTTCTAGTTCGTGATTATTTTATTGCTTCTTAGTTTTCTCTTTTCTCTTGTTCTCATTTTCTTTTATTTTGCATCAGGGACGATGCAAAGTTTTAAGTGTGAGGGGGAGGAATCATTAATTTGGGGATATTTCTGAAATTTTAAAATTTTTGCTTTTGCTTGGATGACTCATATGCTATTTTTGGTGAATAAGTTATTTGTCTTAGCATGCAGTTACAATTATTCTCTCTTGTTGGTTTGTGGTTTGTTTTAGTGGTGCTTGCTGCATCTCAATTTGTGATGGATGATTTGAGGCGTAACACATATTTGATCTATTCCCTTGCCAATAGCTTTGTTAACCACTTAATAATTGGATTAATTCTTGATCTTGTGTTTTGCATTGCTAGTGAAGGCTTATGTGAGATTCCGGTCATGGGTGTTTCGCTAGAACTTGCCTCATTACTCCCTAAGTGATGTCTAAGTTTTGCATGTTTTGAAGTGATTTAGGCAATTTTTGTTTAGCCATAGCCTTTAAACCTGTCCCTATATATATTTTTATCCTTCGTGTCCCCATTGTGCCTTTTGTTTGTTCAAATAAGTGCTAAGCACTTATCCCCTCTTTGTGATTGTTTTTCTTTGATTTACCCCATTATTATAACCCTTAGCCCGTGGCCAAATATTTCCCTTCCACCCTTGAGAGAATGAAACTTTTATCTTTATCTTTTCCGTATGAAGAGTTTTATGGAGTTGTGCTACGAAAAAAAAAAAAAAAAAAAAGCAGCCAGTGTTACAAATGCTCAAGTGTGGAGGTCATGAAAGTTTGGATTAAAGTTATCTTGCTATATCCCAAAGAAGTCCAGAGACAAAGAAAAGAATGAGAAAAAAAAAAAAAGAGAAAGATTGAAAGTTTTTGAGTTTGGATCCCCACTTTACCAAAGAGTTGCTAAGTTCTTAAAAGAAATTTGCTGCTTGGAATTATGATTATCTCATCTCTTCCAAATTTTGAAAAGTTTAGATAAATTGTGACATTCTCTCTTTTTGATTAATTTTTCCATACCACTTCTTTGTTAACTATCACCCGTAGCCCCATTTCAAGCTAAATAAAGTCCTATTTGATCTTAGCATGAATTCTTGGATTTGATCTAGGGGAGTATGAAGGGCAAGCCTATGGGATCTCATTCATGAGCCGTGTCTTGCATAATCTCAACTGAGTATTTGTCCACACTTGATCCTCACATACTTTAAATTCTTGGTGCTTGGTTATTGGCTTGGAAATGGGTCTCTTATGTGCCAAACTAATTTGATTCTTGAAGCTTGTTGTTTTGTAGCAAGTTGGTTGGTGGTTTGAAAGGTTGTGCAAGAGAGAGCATGAGTAATTTGTATGTTTTGACTTGTGATTTTATTCCTTAGTTTTGCTTGAGGACAAGCAAAAGCTTAAGTGTGAGGGGGTGATGTTATCACATCTGTGCTTGTTTTTATGGTTATTTTGAATCATCACAGTAATTAAGCTCTTTAATTTTGCTTATTTAATACATTTTTTCCTTGTTATTATCATTTAATTATGGTTCGCACTTGTTTTGAATATTTTATGGTGTTTGTTAGTGTTTTTGAACCATTTTAGGTCAAAGATATGACCAAGGGGAGTTCAAGGATGAGTTTGGAGCAATTTTGGATGAGTTCGGGGCCCAGTGGACTCGACGCGTCGAGCCAAGGGCTCGACACGTCGAAATTTTCCAGTAGCTAATTAATTCGCACACAGGAAGTCTCGACGCGTCGAGAAAATTCTCGACGCGTCGAATATGCGTCTGTTTCTGGGATAAAAACAGACGCCTAAAGTGGCGCGGATAAAAAAAACAGACGCTTAAAGTGGCGCAACTGGGCAAAATTCAATACAAGCGCGAGATCTCTTTTCCTAATATCAATTGCGCGGATTTCAAGGCTCATATCTCCATATTAAAAGTTAGCAATTCAAGGAATTTTCCAAATTCTAAATATCATTAAAGACGACAATTTCTTTATTTAAATATAGGAATTAGAATTTGAGTCCAATTTGGTACAAGATTCCTATTTCAACTCAACTTTGTACCCACTATAAAATCCCTCCTTCCTCAACCCTAATAACGGGGACCGAGAGAATTCAGAGATTCTTGGAGACAAGAAGGAGAGAAATCAAGAGCCACAAGTTGTCTTGGAAAGCAAGAAGAAGACTAGGGAGATTTGGGAAAATCGTCTGGTTAATTCTTGTACTCTTTTGATGATTTGTAATTCTTTATTTATATTTGCTATGTATAATTTAGTCATGCTTGGCTAAATTCTTTAGAGATTCTTGGGTAAGAGTGTTTATGAACCTATGTGCTTGAGCTCTCAGTTTCTTGAATATATTATTATTTGGGTTTAATACTTGTGTTGCAATCGTGATAATATTGTTTGATGCTTGTAATTAATGGCCATAGTTACTAGCTTCATAGCCATGTTTGTGTCACCAATGGGAGTTGGGGCATAAATTAGGGCACACACGATTGCACCTAATGGTTGGTCCTTGGGAAAGGGGAACTTATTAGGGGAAGTTTATTCTAGATTGTTGCCAATCGGGAGATGGTAGTAATTAGGAATAATTGAATGCTGATCTTTGATCTTATTGGGTGTTTAAGCCATGGGAGTGGAAATTCACTATGAATAGAGATTACGGGAGTAATTCGATTCCACTTTGCATTCCCACACAAATCTTAATTCCAAACTAAATATTGCAAACGATAATTGACACTAGGTGATTAAATACTTGAATCCCATGAATCTCAACTTCTCTCTAATTGTTTTCAAAATCCTGAACCTCTGTTTTATTTTATTTATTTTATGTCAATCAATCATCTAAGTAATTGTTAGGATTAGCTCTAATGAATAAGTTAGTAACTAGTGCTTGATACAACCACTTCCCTGTGGATCGATAACTCGTACTCCGAGAATTATTTGTTTGCAAATATACTACGCATCAGAGCTCACGGGTTTATTATTTGGTCTATGTAGACGACATAATCATGATGGGTAACGATTCAGCTTTGATTGACACACTCCTCCGTCAGTTATCGACTGCTTTCAAAATCAGGGATCTTGGTACACCACACTTCTTTCTAGGGATAGAAACAGTACCTTACGGCGACGGTTTAATTCTATCTCAGCGGCGCTATATGAAGGATATCCTCAAGAGGGCAGGAATGACGGACTGTAAGGCTCTGGCCACTCCAGCAGCAGTAACTCAATCAGCTACACCCTCTTTAACTCCCTTCGAGAACCCTACTCAGTATCGGATGATCGTAGGGGCGTTGCAGTATTTAACTATCACCAGGCCGGATCTCTCCTTCTCGGTGAACAGGTTGTGTCAGTTCATGCACTCCCCGACTGATGATCATTGGGGCTTACTCAAGCGGGTGTTACGGTACGTTAAGGGGACTCAGGAATACGGGCTCCGTCTGTCTCTATCGCCCTCGTCTAATCTTCATGCATACACTGACTCAGACTGGGCCGGATGTCCAGTTGATCGTAAGTCTACCAGCGGTTATGCGGTGTTTCTCGACACCAATCTCGTCTCATGGGTCTCACGCAAGCAGCGCACTGTGGCCAGGTCCTCTACTGAAGCTGAGTACAAAGGGCTGGCGGATGTTTCAGCTGAGGTCACATGGGTCGTTTCCTTACTACGTGAACTTGGGTTACACTCTGGTACACCGGCTACGCTATGGTGTGATAATCTAGGGGCCACTTACCTAGCAGCCAATCCAGTTTTTCACGCCCGCACAAAACATGTCGAGATTGATTATCACTTCGTCCGGGACAAGGTCGCCGCAGGGGATTTTATTGTCAGTTTTGTTTCCACCAAAGATCAGCTGGCAGACATTTTCACCAAACCGCTACCAGCTCCACGCTTCCAGGCGCTACGGGACAAGCTCAATGTTGTCACCCTCCAACCTTGTGCTTGAGGGGGTGTGTTAGTAATAATATATTATATAGTTTATTTGTATATGGCTGTTGTTTATTTGACTAGTCTTGAACTACTGTATAGGAGCTTTTAGTGGTTGCTTCCCTATAGGTTTCTATCCTGTATTCTCTTTCCTGAATTGAATGAGAACTGAGTTTGTTCATCGACACGTAGCCGTTTCGAAAGCATAGTCTCAATATTGAAGCGGGACAGAGCCTTCGGCTAGTAGTGCCAATCCGGTTTCAACTATATGCCTATTTTTGTGTTCAACGGGCCCGTTTTGTTCATGTGTGTAGGCATAGGATTGGCGGTGAATAATTCCAAGTTTGCTAAAAGTATGGTGCAGCTTGCGATATTCACCGCCGAGATCGGACTGGACGGACTTGATAGAACGTGAAAATTGGCGTTCTACCATGACACGGAACAACTCAAAACATTTATATATATATCAGATTTCACCCGTAAGGGGTAAAACCAGCAGAAGCGCGAGTAATCATCTACAAATAGCAGAAAATACCTATAACCACTACTAGAGATTACAGGAGACGGGCCCCATATATCGGTATAAATTAAATCCAATACATTTTGACTAGAATGAAAGACCCTATCTATTGGAAATCTGGACGATTTGCCTAGCTGACAAGGCGTACACGACCCCGCTTTATTGGTTTTGTCTGGCGCAACTGGACAAGACTGCAGAATTTTATTTTGGACTTGTGCATGCGGGTGGCCCAATCTACGGTGCCAAACCACAGGAGTTGCCTGGGAAGTCAAAACTGCAAATGGAGACTGCGGAACAGAAAGCTTGTAAAGACCACCGGATGTTGGACCTTTAAGCAGAACCTCCCGAGTTATGGAATCCTTCACAACAAAGTAATTTTTATGAAACTCAAAAAATACGTTATTGTCGTTAGTGAAGCGATTAACGGACAATAAAGGCACAGATAAATCCGGGACACATAAAACATTAGACAAACGCAACATTTGTGACTTAGACGGGATCGATGCATGACCAACGTGAGAAATATCCAAACCTGCGCCGTTACCAACGCGAAGCACATCCCCGCCGGTGTACTCATCCGCCTGAGACATCATGGACACGTCGGGAGTTGCATGTGCCGACGCGCCTGTATCCGGAAACCATCCCGAAGCCGACGAGGGAGGCGCTGATTCATCCACGGCAGTCACCATATTGGCTTGGGCAGGAGGCGGTGTATTATATCTCTTAAAGCAGTAAACTGCAGTATGGCCCTGGGCTTTACAAATCCTGACACCGAGGAGCGTTGTTCCGTCCTCCCCGGCCTCTATCCTGGCCTCCTCTACCGCCACGGCCGCGGTTCTGGTCTTGTCTGCCACCATCGTTGCTGCCTCGTCCACCATTGCTCCGGCCTCCACGACCGACATACAAGGCAGAAGGGGCCGCCGTGTAACTGCCGTCTGATCCGGCCGGGTAGTCATCGGCGTGTATGAAATCTTGGGCTTGCAGATAGTCGGATATTTGTGGAATCGTCACCGGAATCCCTGCTGCCATGAGTGATGACGCCATGGCGCGATACTCTGGTCGGAGACTGCGGAAGACGAATAGGTTCTGTTCGTCAAGGGAGACGGGCCTGTCAGCGAGCGCAAGCTGTTCCACTAGCAGCTGCGCACGTCCGAGATACTCCACCGCACTGCCACTCCCTTGCCAGATAGAATGGAACTGCCCGAGGAGGCTGAGACACCTGGCACGAGTGGTGCTGCCTAACGCCGCCATGATTGACTCCCACACCTCTCTGGATGTGGCCTTGCCGACGGCGAGGTGCATCACTTCATCCGAGAGGGATGAAATGATCAGAGATAAGATCAGTTGATCTTGCTTAATCCACGCTTTGTATGCGGGATTGGGAATCGGACTAGTGGTGGTAGCTGCGGAATTTGAACCGCCGGAAGCAGGTGGTGATTCGACTGTGGGCGGTGGACACGGCGTATCCCCATCGACGAACCCCAACAGCTCTTGGCCGCGAAGAAAAGGGATTATTTGAGTTCTCCAGAAGTGAAAGTTACGGTGGGTGAGTTTGATAGACACATGGTGGTTCGCACCGGCGAGGGGATTGGAGGCAGTCGCCGGTGGGTTTGATGCACCGGCAGTGACTGTTCTTTCAGAGGAGTTCGTGGACATGGTGGGGGATTGAGTGATTGCCGGCGATAAAGATCGACAAAGGGGGTGAGAGAGAGAGAACCCGGTCTATCTGATACCAGATTAGATAAATGTTTGATGATATTTTATTCAGCACAAGAACAGGAAAACAATATAAAGGGAAATAACAACTAATGTGAGAGACTCCTATCTAAGAGGGATGACTAAGGACTTATTCTCCTGTTACAATATTGACTAAACATATATAACAAGACTAATAAATAATATATAACTAACAATATCTGATTTTCAAAAAAAAAAAAAAAAAAAAAAACAATATCTGACAAAACTACAAGTAAAAATTCGAAACATATAGATATATAAATAATTAAAGTCTAGAAAAGTAATTTTAAATTGGCTCACCAAGAGAAACAAAGTAAAAAATCAACAAATATATTATAACAAAATCAAATTGATCTTTAAAACGCACTCTCATTTCGATGGACTGATGAACAATGAAATCTAAAAAATATAATTCCTCAAAAAAATATTTGACATATATACTAATATACATTGGACATGAAAGAGATGAAACATAAGACCTAATTCTATGCAATTCACAAAATAAAAGAGAGAGAGAGAAAGAGAGAGAGAGAGAGAGAAAAAAACTACCATGCCTTGGTGTTTATGTGAAAGTGTGGAACTGAAAATAAATAGATCTCAAAACCAAACCCCAAGAATGAAGCAACAAGCAAATTTATGACTACTAGTATGGCTAAAAAGATCAAGACAGCGCATAGAGAATAATAAACCACAGGACGAAAAAAAAATCTCACTGAAAAATCTTATATATAATCAAAACTTTAAAAAAAATGAAACTGAGAACAAATTAATATAACGGTATTCTTGAATGATGTCACGCCTTACGTGACATTTTCCTATATGGAAAATCTCAACAATTAAATTTGTTTTCATTGGAGAAATATTACCATCCATAAATTTATGAAAACATTATAAAATATTTAAAATGATTTCTCTAATTTTAGAAAATTTTAAAATACCTTTTCTAATAATAAGAATTTGATAAAAAATTAATTTTTATGCATAAACGAAGAAAAAATATTTATAAATATACTTATATTTTTTATATTTGTACTTTCCCACGTGTTTCGTATCCTAGAATTATTGTCCTCCTTTCCCGTTTCCATGAAACTTGGACTAGCATTCCTCAATTGCTTTGACCCTATGTGTATTAGGTACAGAATTCATGACCTTAAAGCACATAATTTCATTATATAAAACGCAGAAACTCATGAAATAATACACATAAACATGTTGGGTGTGTCATGCTCTTAAGGCACATAAATTCATAATACAAGACACTTAAAAACCATAATACGAGACACATAACTCAAGCTACTCCACTCCATCTACATAAAAACCCTATTAAAAAATACACATTAATATCTCATCTAGCAATTCAATCATAATAACTCAATAATAACTATACAATATATCATAGAAACCATTATTAAGTAAGTAATCACCGCATCTCAAATGAATTTAATCACATTAAACGTAATTATTCAAGCAACTGGCCAAAAAATAAATAAGAAACACACAAAAATAATCTTGTCTAACACTTTCAAATCTTGCTGAGCAATGAACTTGTCCATATCTAGCACAAATCCTGCGAGTAAATCAACAAAGACCAAATCAAAAATTTGAGTGTTGAAAAAACTAGAGACCATGAACATTACAAGAGAAAATCTAAAAAATGAAACTACTAAAGAGACTGTTGAAAACGAGAAAAGTGGGGACAACTATAAACTATTATAATCTAAGCCACAAAACGACGCATTTCAATCTAGGGTCGATAAAATTATGTGGACATTGGTTCACGATATAATTTGTCGCACTAATCTTTGGGGACATGGTAGTAAGATGACATAAGCCCAACTATAAAATTTGATCCAATGTGGCTGGGCCTAGTGCCCTAGTTAGCCATTTGAGGCACATTCTACCAAGGGCTAGGGTCCAGTTTGCACTTTGGACCATGGTCCAAAATGATATTCAAATTATGCGTATATAGTTAACAGACTATTTGTATGTAATAAATTGAAGGCACATAATATATTAAATACAAGAACAAAATATGTCGTCAATATTTTATGTGCCTATAGATAATCTATTATGTATCCGTAATTAAATATTATGTACCTTCAATTTATTTATAGATACATAATTTAATAACAAAAAATACATAATGTGTTAACTGCAAATGTATAATTTATTGACCAAGTTCACATTACAAGGTCGACCCTAAATTGCTACAAACCCTTCTAATATAACACAAAATGCCTACCATAATGGAAATCCAATTAGATAATTAATTAAAATAAACTAAAATTTTGATTCATAAAATATTAAGCGGGTATTATGTAATTTGAAATAATCATCAAAAATTAAGCATTGTTACAACACTGACTCTGTTATAATATCCTATCTGTTCATAAATACTTTCACAACCTACTAAAGCATAAATAGTCAATATTGCCCCCACTGAGTCTCAAACACATGACATCCCAATTGGGAGACCCACTTGGTGCCACTAAACCACAAGTTCATTGGTCTTAAATGACCCAACAAAAATCGAAGGAACCTACGCTTGGAACTGACTACGAAAGAGATGTGCCACCACAACTCCCATGTAAATATGGACTTGTTTGATGATCCATATAGACAAAGATAATCCATAGTAGACACCTTTGCTTCCTCACTCCCTACCACAAAAGGAGCATGAAAGAACATATTGGAGCAATTTATGCTCCTCCTTTCTGGGACCCAGGTCTAATGGAGATTGCAAGTGTACTTGGGACATTGGTCTAAAGGAGATTGCTAGTGCACTTGGGACATTTTAAAAGCCATTGCACCTTTAATTTATGTATCTATCGGCTTTGTGGGTCGCTATTACCTTCAGAAAGGAGTAGCATAA